TGACTATCCGAAGCCGTCAAAGTTTCATGGGGTCCGAGATGCCAAAGAAGTCGAGAACTGCTTGTGGCAAATGGAACAATATTTCGACAACCTTAACCTTGAGGACGAGACGGCGAAAATCAAGACGGCCACATCTTATTTGGTGGATACGGCAATGCTATGGTGGCGAAGGAGGCATGCGGATATAGAGCGGGGCGTTGCACGGGTTGACACGTGGGAAGACTTCAAGAGAGAGTTGAAGAGACATTTCTACCCGGAGAACGTCGTCTTTGAGGCCCGCAAGAAGCTAAGGGAGTTAAAGCAAAGAGGTACGATTCGTGACTACGTAAGAGACTTTACCACCCTTATGCTCCAAATCCCCAACTTGTCCCAAGAGGATCTACTTTTCTACTTCGTCGATGGGCTACAAAGTTGGGCTAAACAAGAGGTGCAACGGCGGAGTGTCCAAACTGTGGACGAAGCCATTGCCGCCGCTGAATCCTTGACGGACTTCCAACACCATAGCTATGGGGAGGCATCCAAGAGAAAAGATAAGAACCCCGTCAAAGGTGGGGGAGAGCGGCATGACAACGTGGGCAGGGAGAACTCACGGAGACCGTCCTTCAAGAGGGGGGACAAAAGCTTGGGACGTGAGGAATATGAGGCAAAGAAGAAGTCTTTTGTACCGAAGGGAGGGTGCTTCGTGTGCAAGGGACCACACACCATGAAAGATTGTCCTAAGCTAGGTTCGTTATCCGCCATGGTGGAAAGACAAGAAGCGGAGGCCCAAGAGGAGGAGACGAGCATGATGGGATCACTTCAAATCCTCAATGCTCTCAAGGCAAAACCGATGCCTAAGACGACAAGCAAGGGGCTGATGTACGTCGAGGCATGCATCAATGGGAGACCAACAAGGGCGTTGGTTGACACGGGCGCAACGCACAACTTCATAAATGAGGAGGAGGCCAAGAGGGTTGGTCTTCAATGGACAAAGGGCATGGGTTGGCTGAAGACGGTGAATGCGAAGGCGCAACCCCTACATGGCGTAGCACGAGGAGTGGATCTACGTCTAGGCACTTGGAAGGGCCAAGTGGACTTTACGGTGGCACCGTTGGACGACTACAAGGTTGTTCTAGGGATGGACTTCCTAAGGCAGGTAACCGCTATCCCTATGCCATCTTTCAACACGGTTTGTATCCTTGAGAAGGATTCACCGTGCATGGTACCGACATTGGAGACTCCCAATGAGCGGACAAGCAGCGGGGCTAAGATTTTGTCGGCGATGCAAGTAGCCAAGGGGGTGAAGAAGGGAGAACCGACATTCTTAGCCGTACTTAAGGTGGACGACAAGACGGAAGGGCCGACGGGCGTACCACCTATTATCGAAGCTGTCCTTGAGGAGAACAAGGACGTGATGCCGGCGAAGCTACCGGAGAAACTACCACCTAGGAGGGAGGTGGATCACAAGATCGAGTTGGAACCGGGTGCCAAACCACCCGCGATGGCACCATATCGTATGTCCCCCAATGAGCTCGAGGAGCTAAGGCGCCAACTCGATGAGATGTTAGAGACCGGGAAGATGAGACCGTCGAAGGCACCTTATGGCGCACCGGTGCTATTCCAAAAGAAGCCGGATGGGACACTAAGGATGTGCGTGGACTACCGGGCGCTAAACAAGGTAACTATCAAGAATCGTTATCCTATTCCTTTGATTGCCGATCTCTTTGATAGACTTGGTGGAGCCAAGATATATACGAAGATGGATCTACAAAAGGGTTACTACCAAGTCCGCATAGCGGAAGGAGACGAACCGAAGACCGCTTGTGTTACCCGCTATGGTTCATTTGAGTGGTTAGTCATGCCCTTTGGACTAACCAATGCACCGGCAACATTCTGCACACTCATGAATAAGATCTTCCAACCTTACTTGGATCGGTTCGTGGTGGTTTACTTGGATGATATCGTGGTCTATAGCAACTCGATGGAGGAGCACGTGGAGCACCTACGCATTATCTTCCGAGTACTCCGGGAGAACGAACTTTACGTGAAGAGGGAGAAGTGCACGTTTGCCACGGAGGAGGTACACTTTCTTGGTCACATCATCGGGCATGGGAAGCTCATGATGGACATGGGCAAAATCAAGGCGATCATGGAATGGGAGGCGCCAACCAAGGTAACCGAGTTACGTTCTTTCCTTGGTTTAATAAATTATTACCGGCGGTTCATCGAGGGGTATTCCAAGAGGGCAGCCCCGTTAACGGACCTACTCAAGAAGGGGAAGACTTGGGAATGGTCCAAGGCGTGTCAAGAGGCCTTTGATGACTTGAAGGCCGCGGTAAGCCAAGAGCCCGTTCTAGCTCTACCGGACTTTGGCAAACCGTTCGAGGTACACACGGATGCCTCCGACTTTGCCATTGGAGGAGTTTTGATGCAAGAGGGGCATCCCATAGCATTTGAGAGCCGCAAGCTGAATGAGACGGAGCGGCGTTACACCGTGCAAGAGAAGGAAATGACCGCAGTG